GGTACCACCTCACACCAGTTAGAATGGCCATCATTCAAAAATCCACAAATGATAAATGCTGGAGAGGGTGTGAAGAAAAGGGAACCCTCCTACACTGTTGACAGGATGCAGTATGGTGCAGCCATTGTGGAAAACAGTATGGAGATTCCTCAAAAGACTAAAAATACACTTACCATATGATCCAGCAATCCCATTCCTGGGCATATATGCAGAGGGACCCTTAATTCAAAAAGACACCTACACCCCAATGTTCAAAGCAGCACTATTTACAATAGCCAAGACATGGAAACAACCTTAATGTCCATCAACAGATGACTGGATAAAGAAGCTGTAGTATATTTATACAATGGAATACTACTCAGCTATAAAAAATAATAAAATAATGCCATTTGCAGAAACATGGATGTCCCTGGAGAATGTCATTCTAAGTGAAATAAGCCAGAAAGAGAAAGAAAAATACCGTATGATACCACTCATATACAGAATCTAAAAAAAAAGACAAATGAACTTATTTATAAAACACAAACAGACTCACAGAAATAGAAAACAAACTTATGGTTACCATGGGGTAAGGGGATGGGAAGGGATAAATTGTGGGAAGGGATAAATTAGGAGTTTGAGATTTGCAGATACTGGTATATATAGAATAGATAAACAAGTTTATACTGTATAGTACAGGGAACTATATTCAATATCTTGTAGTAGCTTACAGTGAAAAAGAATGTGAAAACAAATATATGTATATTCATGAAGGACTGAAGCATTGTGCTATACACCAGAAATTGACACAGCATTGTAAATTGACTATACTGCAATTTTAAAAAAGTAAAAAAAAAAGGCAATAGTGTTCAAGTATAAGAAGAATACTGCATGAGTAATAGTAAATGCTTGTGTTTTCCAAGACCAGGCCAAAATGGAATAGGTTCAAATCACAAAAACAAAGAATGAGACCAAGTCTTGGGGAACAGTGGCTGTAGATCCCAACATGGGTAATCTAGAATGGCTACTCTGATTTTGTTGATAAGGAAAATGGAGAACCAAGCATCCAAGTGGCTCCTAAGGACGGGATGAAGCTGGGATCTGGCCTTTCCTTACGTAAAGCTGCCAAAAAGGCTTTGGGAACTGTCAACAGAGCTACAGAAAAGTCAGTAAAGAATGAAACTCTCAAACAGAAAGACAACCTTCTCTACCAAAAAGATGACTGAGAAGACCATTAAAGCAAAAAGCTCTGTTCCTGCTTCAGATGACAGCAATCCAGAAATAGAAAAATTCTTTCTCTTCAACCTGCTAGATTTTGAGAGTTTCGACCTGCCTAAGGAGCACCGGATTGCACAGCTCCCCTTGAATGGAGTGTTTCTCGTGATCCTCGATGAGGAAGGGCACCATGAATAGCTGTGACACCTGGGTCCCTCTTTGCCTCTGAAGATGCCTCTTCCACTTAGAGAATCTAATCTGTTGCGGTATCCCCCAAGAATTCCTGTCGACCCTGGATGTTGAATGCGACCTGTTTGCTATGATTTAGATATTTAAATTTCTTAGCACTTTATAGTTCAAGGGTATGTATTAATAGTTTGTATTAATAAAGCTGTTCTTTGTTTTACAGACTCAAAAATCCAAAAAAAAACAAGGATTTCAGTTTAGACACAAGAATTGTTTTCTATATTTGAGTGATGGACAAGACTACTTTCCAAAGGATGTTGGTAAACATTTCATTTCTAGACTATTGAAAGGAAAAAGGCTTATCTTTCTAATGTAATTTGAGGGAAGAAAATTGGCATACATAGCTACATACATACAGGGGTAATTTTCTTTTACTGTGAATCTATATAACTTGGGTACAGTAATACTCACCAAATGCTGTCCAGTGTACTAAAAAGGAGTACATTATAGCCTAATCCAGTCTGTAACTTCTTGGGGTCTGTTTTCATTACATGAAGAATTATATCCACTCCTTCAGTTCCAAAAATTTCCTAAGAGATTTATTTAAAATTATTTCTTGAAATAAATAATATTTTTCTTTCCCATTTGTCTTGTCCCCTAAAACTTTCTACCAGAAAAATACAACAACATTGTTAGGAAAATAGTACTGTAATACAGATTCTTTCTTCAAATTTGGGCTCAATTGTTTTCAGGGATTTCAGACAAATTACTGTAAATAATCTTAAGAGAGGACATCAGTCAATATATAGCTTAATGTCCCTTTATTTTTTTCTGTTTCTCTTTCTGAAAAAAAAAAAACAACTATAAGACTTGTCCCATGGTTTTCTTCCATGTTATAATGAATGTAGTCTAACATCATGCCATATGAGTACTAGATAACAATAAGTAATTTAGGAGGTTTAAAATTCTATCATGGAAGATTTTCTAATGTTTCCAAGAGAGAAATAAATATATAAGTAGTAGTTAGAACCTTTAATAATTTATATTAAGTTATTACCAGATAATATTTGTCCCTTACTAGGAACTTTTTTCATTGCCTTGTTTTTCAGTTCTGGTTCCCTTACATAAGCAAGAGTATAAGTATTTTTCCAGAAGAACACAGGTGCAGGGTTGGACAATATGAGAAGTTGCACCAAAGCTCGGAGCTAAGTATGCATTTACTGTTCTTGTTGCCTCTCCATAAAATCACTCTATTGAAATCTTCATAATTTCCTATTTTTATCTTTCCAGATCTATGTCTTGCAGTTTAAGTTATCCAGAGTTTTTGTTATGGCATTAAAAAGATCAAAGGGAATTAAGCTCTTTTTCTAACTTTTAGTTTTAGATATGAATCTAATTCAAACCCAAAACAGCATTTATAATGTATAACCACTTAGGAAAACTATTTGCCAGATTCTCCAGAACATACACCTACCTTATGACCCATCATTTGCACTCCTAGGTATTTATCCAAGAGAAATGAAAGCATTATGTCCACAAAAAGACTAGTAAAGGAATGTTTATTAAAGCTTTAAACATAATGGTTTCAAATGGAACCAACCAAAGTGTTTGTCAATAGCGGAATGGAGAAACAAATTTTGATATATTCATACAATGAAATACTATTCGGCAATACAAATAATGAATTATTGATGAATAAAAAATGGATGTATTTCAGAAATATGGTGTTGGATGACAGAAACCAGAAATAATAGAGTAAATAATTACGTGATTCCATTCATATAAAGGTAAAGAATAGGCAAAACTAATTTATGAGAATAGAAATCAGAATAGTGGCTGCCTGTGGGCAAGTGGGGGTGTGGCTGCTAAGGGGAATGAAAGTAATTTTACAGGAAGATAAAAATACTCAATATTTTAACTGAGATATTAGTTAAATGGGTGTATATATTTGTCAAAACCTACTGAACCATATACTTAAGATCAATATACTTTTCTGTACATAATTATGATCTAATTATAAAAAGGATATTAAAGTAAATCTTCAGAAAATTAAAAAACACCATTTATGGACATTTACTAAGAAAAAGTTCAGAATGTTATGTGATTGAGAGAGCAAAACTTTGATACATACCTTCCTGGGAATATGATGTTCACAAAGACCAGATAAAATAAGTAATATATCAGACTGAATTTCCAAAAGAATGGCCTCTTCCTTGTCATTGTACTTGCTTATTGTGTTTTTAAAGATTCCTGATTTGAAAAAAATTTTAAAGAATGTAAAGTTATTGGGCACTGAATTTTTATTTTGATCAATAACTGTTCTGAAATTCCTTCTTATAAAATTTCAACTAGAAAATATATATAATATATAAAATAATTAATAATAATATATTAAAAGGGGCTGTTATCATTGCATGGTTACCGAGAGGCTGTAGACAGATGATAAATGGGTTCTTTGAGCCATCAGTACAATCAGTAGCTCCATATGTATATAGAATTTCTAGTACAGAATTAATGGATTATCTGGTACAGAATTAATGGAGTATAAAGAAAAGGGAACCTCTTACACTGTTGATGGGATTGTAAATTGGTGCAGCCACTATGAAGAACAGCATGGAGTTTCTTTAAAAAAACTAAAAATAGAGTTGTTATATGATCCAGCAATCCCACTCCTGGGCATATATCCAGAAAAGATGAAAACTCTAATTTGAAGATACATGCACCCCAATATTCATAGCAGTACTGGCTACAACAGCCAAGACATGGAAGCAACCTAAATGCCCGTTGACAGATGACTGGATAAAGATGTGGTACATGTATGCAATGGAATACTACTCAGCCATTAAAAAGAATGAAATAATGCCACTTGCAGCAACATGGATGGATCTAGAGATTATTATAATAAGTGAAATAAATCAGACAGAAAGACAAATATCATATGATATCACTTATATATGGAATCTAAAAATTGATACAAATGAACTTATTTACATAACAGAAATAGACTCACAGGCATAGAAAACAAATTTATGGTAATCAAAGGGGGAAAAAGGGGTGGAGGGATAAATTAGGAGTTTGGGATTAACATATACACACCACTATATATAAAATAGATAACCGGCAAGATCCTACTGTTCAGCACAAGGAACTATATTCAATATCTTTTAATAACCTATAGCAGAAAAAATCTGAAAAAGAATAGATATATATATAAATCACTTTGCTGCACACCTGAAACTAACATAACATTGTAAATCCAGTATACTTCAATTTTTTAAAGTCAAGAAAAAAGAATGGAGTGTCATTAAAAGATTCCCTAACAACCTGATACTTTATCCAGCAAACAAAGCTGTTTAAAAATACACAGTGTCACGAGGCAGAGATGTGTGCCTTTGTAAACACATGACCAAAATGCCTGATCATAGCTTGCTTCATCTCTTCTCATGGTTAACAGGATCAATTTTAAGCAAAGGTAGAAGACATGTCTAAGTACATTTTCTATTCCTGTTACTTCTTTCTGCATCCTCTCCTTATGGCTACCTGAAGGCCTCTTCAACAACTTAGTCAGCAGTATTTCCTTGCCCTTTAAAATCTCTCCCTAGCTTCTAATCAAAATTTTAAGACTTGAATACAGATGGAATGACATTCGCTATAATATTTTACCTCAAAAAAGAAATTTTTCTTTAAGCTTTAAAAGAGAGACAAAAGTCATGTTTCCTCAGTTAAAGTGGTCACTGGCATTAGCAGGAAGTATGGAGCTATGTTCCAAAGTAAAAGGGCCATGGAACTATCTCCATAGTTGGCCCTGAAGGGGCAATTCTTGTTCCTGTTAGGATGAATTTCAGGGAGGGGATCAGAGTCTAGAAAGACTCGTTGAACATGCTGGAGGCTAAGGAGAGTCATGTAAAGGACAGAGGGCCTATGTTCCCTTACTAGGAAGCACCTTCTAGGAATCCAACCTGGCTGGCTTCAAGTCTGCTTCTCCTTTCTAGAATATCTCCTTCTCCTTCCTACCTGGGTACAGGCATGTCACTTTCCCTGTTGTCTGTGACACATGGTATGTTAATAGTGAATTATTTCCTTCATATTTCAGTTATCTTTAACTCCCTGCCTTTACCATCTCCTTGTTCTATTCTAAATCACCCAATATATTTCTTTCAGATTTCCTCTTTCTAAAACAGCATTGTACATATATAACTTCCCTGGTCAAAACCACAGATAGCTCCCCATGCTTAAAGAGGATGTAGTTCAAACTCTGTTTGCCATGCAGAACTCTTTTTTTTTAAAGCTTGGCCTCTGACTAGACAATTAACTTTATCTCATATTGTCTTTATAAAACTTTGACTCACTTAAGCTAGCTCTGAACACATCATCATGCGTATTTTGGCTTCATGCTTCTGCTCATGCTGTCCCCTTGCTTGAAATATCAAACTCTTTCATTTTTCCTCTTGAAACTAGCCTTATCCTCATACCCTAACTCCATAAAGGTTCCAGTTAAGATTGCCCAGCCTTGAAAAGTACCCAAAACCTCTTCGTTTCTGTGGCATATACTTTCTGTTACTCACTATTGCCTTACCAATGGAGCAGGGTAACACATACTGTTTGACATATATCTTTCCTTTTGTTCTAATTAAGGGCAAAGTCCCGAGAGCCCTGCTCTATACATGTTTATGACACTAGTGCCTACACAAAAAGTGTATAAACATTTACATTTACAATGCAATTCCTATTTTTTGAGTGTATTACTACTACAGAGCCCTCTGTTAGATTCAAGTAAGAGAAGGTCCCTGCCCTAAGAACTCACGTGATAAATATCAGCTTCTTTCAAGTTAAAGGAAAAAGGTCCTAAGGAAAAAAGAACCATTGTTATTTGATTTCCCTATCCAATTTGCCACTTGGGTAAAGTTAAGACTTCTTCCTGGACATATGGAATATTGTATTCATCCATTTAGGCGGGGGCCTTATCACTGAGTTCTGTACAATGGACTGTGCACAGAAGTGGTAAAAATCTACTTTCAGGTTCGGTCATCCTATGTAAACTAATCAAGAAAGTGAATGCTTTTGCCTAACCTCCTTTTCAATGTACATGTTTTGCTTACTAGTTTTATTATTAGAGGGCACCACTCCAGTCTAGTAAACGGAAGAGCAGGCACTTAATAGGTAGAAGAGTTTTTGAGTAAGCATTTGTAATTAATTGACATCCAGCAAATTATATCACTTACTCATGAGACAGTCACTGAACATGAATAATACAACCCTTACTTCTCAAAGTCAGGGAAGGCTAGGGCCAGAGGACTATTTATTTTTTAATTAATGAAACATATAAAGCTTTTGTTTAAGCTTTAGGCTTCTGAATTTTACACTGAGCTCACATGTGTGGTGACAGCATAGTCAACTCTAAATTGAAAATCAAGGATATCTTGATGTTTCACATCAGAAAAGAATCTCCCATAAACATTTCTCTATACACCAGCATACCAGTGGTCTGGTATATCAAATGCACTAGAAAATGTAATGTTATCCTCTTTTAAAATGACTCCAGAAGGCCTGGCCAAAAAGTGGTGATCTTACCACTAGAAGAAGGAAACATAACAATAGCCCATTACATAAAAAGAGGATAATCCTAAATGAAATGGTACCTGAACGAAGTAAACAAATGTTTAAAGGACAAGAGATCATGATGTTTCAGTAAAGAAAAACTGACTTACAGCAATAATATGAGACAAAAATCAAGTAAATATTTAGGAGTTTGTCAGTTATAGGACAAAATTAATGTGTAGAAAAACATTTCAAACAAAATTTCAAATTTATAAACATTCTACTTTCATCAGGACATGAACATGTTATATTTTACCTAGCAGTTGCTGAACTGTTCCCTTTTCACAAAGATCTTTGTTTATAGTCTCATTCTCAAGGTAGACCATGGCTCTCAAGAGTCTTAAACTGTAACGCATCTGGGCAAATTTGTTGCCACGGCCACCTGTACCATGAAAACTGTTACCATGACTAAAGAAAGAATCTGTGGAGAAATATCAATAGTTTCCATCAATAAATTTAAAATAAAATATTTCAAATAAATAAAACAGAATATATTAAACATCTTTTATATCTATCTTCAAGTTTAAATGGATGTTAAAATTTTGGCCTTTATTTAGAGAAGTATTCCATCCTCCTCTACTTTCTATTGCCAGCATAGAAATATGTGTTTTAAAATTTTACTCAGAAATGTCATTATTTTATATATCTTTTGTAACTTGCTTCTCTTACTTAACATTATGCTTTTAAAAATTATTCATTATTACAAGTAGATCTAGATCACTTAGTTCTAACTGCTTTCAGCATCCATTTTATTAATAAGTTTATTCATTCACTAGTACAAACGGCTATAATGAATATTATAGTTCATGTCCTCTTATTCTCTGCCAAGAGTTTCACCTGTGACACCAGAATCATATAGGTAAACCCACAATGAATTTTACTAAAGTTGCCAAATTGTTTCCCAGAGTGGTTATATGGATACAATGTATAAGAAATAGATTGTTCCCAATCTGCTAAATTTGAAATGGTAGTTCATTGTTATCTTAATTTGCAGAGCAATTGCATTTCTCTGATTACCGGGGGGGTTGAGTGTCTTTTAATTTTTTTGAAAATTTGAGAATATCTCCAAAAATTTTGAAAAATTTTCTTGGCAATCCCTAGTCTTTGTCTACTTCTCTACTGAGTTATTTTCTGTTTGATATGTAGGTATTCTTTATGAACCTGGATTCTAATCCTTCGTCAGTCAGAGGGGTAAGTAAATGTCTTCTCTCAATTTGTAGATTTTTATTTTATTCAGATTTGGTCATGCAGACATTTCTGTTTTACAGTAGTTAATAAATTTAATAATCTTTAATAATCTGTATAGTTTAAGCTTTTTTGGTTTTTAAAACTCTGTTCCTACCCTGTTATCATAATTTCCTGTTTTCTTCTAAGATTTTTACAGTTTAATTTTTCATATTTAGGGCTTTAATTCATTTTGCAATTGATTTTTTAACATGTTAAAAGGATCTAATTTTTATTTTTTCACATGGAGGGCCAACTGCCCCAGCACCATCCTTCTCTCATTAAGTGGCAATATCATCTCTGATAACACCAGCATCCCATGTATTCCGTTCTGCTGATCTGTTCCTGCTCTAGTACCATAAAATTTTTATTACTATAGCTTTGTGGTAGATTGTGATAAATAACAAGGCAAGTCCTCCTTTCTTTTTTATAATACGCATTCTTTGAAAGATTCTTTTAGAAATTGCTTTATGTTTAATGCTAAAAAAAAGTTCAAAATACTGTTCTGAGTAGTGTGTATAGGTTAAAAAATGCGAGTTCTGGAGCTGGACTGCCTGTATTAAATACTGGCTCTGCCACTTACTTTGTGGCCAGGAACAAGTTATTTAACTTCTGTAACTGAGTTCTACCTACTGATCAACAGGAATAACAATAGTGCCTAGAACTCTTCAATCTGTTGTGAGGACTAAATGCTTTAACCTGCTAAGGGAGTGAAGGCCTACCACATAGTAGGTACTCAATAACTTTGCTGTCAGGCTTCCTCCTGTTAGGCAGTATTTTTCTTTTTTGCTTTATAGTCTTCTGTAAATATAAATGTTATAAAGGATAGACAGGAGGGTTGTTTTATTTAATGCATAGTAACTTAGTAAGACTAAATTTAGTGACTCAGCATATTAAAAACCAGGGAATAAAAATAAGCTACAATTTTTTTCTCCCTCATGGATAAATGAGTTCTATTCTTGAGCTAATGAAAATGTATCAGAGCAAAGTTACTACCAGAAAAGAATATAATATCTTCCTTATAATTTAAAAAAAATAATATATTTCTTATTTCCCTACTAAGAACCATGAGAATTGAAATGAAATATTCGTACAAACTGGGGCTCGCTAATTTGGTAGACTACATGTGGAGTCATTACTTCTGGCTAGAGATCTAGATTTGAAGCTGCATGAAGGTATGGATTTTATTTCTTTTGGTCATAAATATATCTTTAGTAGCTAAAACAATATATGGTACCAGTAGGCATGCTATAAATACTTGTTGAATGACTAATTAAAATATTATCAGTACTTAGTATAATTGTTGGATAGGCCTAATATAAAAATTTAGATCGGTTTATATGAATGATTTCTTTTACTGAGAGGTATGAATCAACTATAGCTAATATTTACTATGTCTGACTCTAAATGAAATCTCAGGCTTTTCCCCCTTAAAACAGCATATTAAATACATTAAAATCACTGGCAGCCAGATCTATATTTTTATTTCTCTTATTAATTTTATTTCTTTTTCTACACCATTCAGTTGAAATATGTAGATTAAAATTTTGACAGGAATCTGAAGGGCCACTTACCTTCACTTTCACACCATTCTAGAAATGCAAGGACTCGAGCATTTCCCTGACACAGCATATACTCTTCTGTTAAAAAAGGAGCCACTGATGACAAAGTGGCAATTGCATGCAGCTGTAATTCTTCATATTGTGCTGCAGACCATTCAATTATTTTCTGTTTCTCAGGCTTTTTAACATAGCTAAACAAAGCCAAAATAACTTTGCCATCAATTAATAGCTATGAGAAAGGACAAATAGTACTGTGTTAGAAACATAATTAGAGCAGTTTTATTAATAAAATTAAATAAAAGATTTCCAATCTGATGTGTTATTGATGACCACTTCAAAATATTTCCTTCCTAAAGATCCCAACCTACGTTAAGTACCAAAAGTTAAAAAATTAAAACACCAAAACCTAAACTCAATAGTAATGGCTTGACTGTGTTCCCCTTTCTGGGATTTGCACTTTGTAGCTGACAATATGCAAATTATATCCTACTTATGATAAAAACCACAATAGCAGAAAATTTGGGGCAAATAAATAAACTGCTGGTTATTTCTCTCTTCCTCACTTGTTAAAAAATGGAAACATTTCACAGACTCAACTGTATATATACTTTAAGAAATCAATTTTTTTGATGTTATGATAATGACTATGGCTATTTTTAAGCACACGCAGCAGAACTTATACAAATATTCTATCCAATGAATGCCACATTTAATTAAATGCCTAGAATTTTTAAATTGTATTGAATCCATGATTTCAATATAAATAAAACAAAAAATATATAGTTATTATAATGTTTAATCAAGTTAATATTATAGCTGATTCTTATTGATACATATTTATGGTTCACAAGACAGTAACACACCATGTGCTATATTCTATTCAATTTACTTTTCACCTGGCATTATTCTACAAAGACTTTTTTACAATAACATCTATGAATTTTTCCAAAGTTTTTATAATTCCACATGGAAAGAACACAAGATTCAGAATTGAGAAAACAAGAACATTAGCTCTAGCATCGCTGCAAGTATTAAGTAGGTAATTTTTTTTTTAAATACTCCGTGAACTGCAAATAACAGTACACATATTCATTATCACTACTTTTATTGGGTCACAAACATAACGGCATAAAACAATTAGTTGATTCCATTGCTTACATACTGCTTTAAGAAGCTTACCATGGTCTTTGTGCATTTGACTCTACTATCAACTAAAATTGGTTTATAGGCTATAGTATAAATTTTATTTGTCTTTTGTAGCTATCATCCTAATAGCTATGTAATATTCAACTAGAATAATAAACCATATTTTAGTGAATATTTTTTCCTATATGGCATTTCAGAAAATACATTTAGGTTCTATGTAGTATATATTGTTATATACTACGTATACTATACTATATTATATATGAATAATAGTAATATATGAATATGAATAATAAAGTTCTAACTGTAAAGACAGTTTTTTTCTGAGCATTTTTTGGTATATTCTTCAAAGTGGCATTACCAAAAAAATTTTTAGCTCTTTTAATACTCATAATATTTCTAAGATAGGTGAGATAGGTGTTTTCCCCATTTTGAAGTTGAGATACCTGGGATTTAGAGAAACTAAGCAACTTATTCAGGATCACGTAGCTAGCAAGTGACAGCACTGGATTCCACCTGACTAAAGCCTTAACCACTATACTATACCACCTTTATATTATCATTAATAATATTGATAGAATGCATTTCTCTTTGGAACTTGAAAGATTTCTAAGACTAAAGTGAAACTTCATTTAATGCAGTAAATAACTAAACTAATGGAATTGTTAATAAGTAGTATCTTTTTCTAAAGCTTTATAGTTTACAAAGTTTTCATCTCAATCTCACAACAGAAGGAAGAACTAAGCCTCAGAAAGTTTAGGTGATTTTGCCAGTGCCACACAGCTGGTAGGTGATAAGACAGAAATGAAATTCATTTCCAGTGTTTCTCAAATTATATCATGCTGTTATGTAGGATATAAAGTTTTAAGATAAATTTATTGGTATATGGGTTTTTATGGAGAAAAAGCAGGTTCATAAGGGTTTTAGATTGGTGGCACAGAATTAGCAATTTCCTCCAGCATTAAATCATTTGTTATTACTATGGTCAGAGATAGACTATCACGCTGGATGGGCCCATATGGATTTTCTTTTATTTTATGTTCTCTTATTCAGGAGATCTAAATATATAAATAAATCTCCAAATTTCTCCTGCTTTTCCTTGGTTTATGTGGTTTAAATTTAGGTAAATTCATGGTTCACTAATAGATAAGCAAAAGAAATTTTGAAAGGGTGAAATTCCAGTGAATAAGAGTTTGTTATTTTCCATGGTAAACATACAGGCATCATGATGAAAGATTTGCTGCCATGACTTTGTTGTACTACGAAGTGAGACAATTTAAATTTTTGATTACTCTTTACCTGTATAGTAGATAAATCTTTACATAAAATCACAATTATATTGAATAGCAGTTTCTTCAACTCAAAATCTTCATAGGAATTAGAAAGCTTAAGACCTTTTACCAAAGGATTTTGACTTTTAACTGTGAGGGGGAGAAAAAAAGAAAGGTAAAATAAAAGCTGAAATGATGTATAAGATTCATTAAGACAATTGTTAGTTGAAAATTTTATGGTTTTTACCTTCATTAAAGGTTGCAAATAGTATCAAATCCCTGGTAAAGCCACATTCCTAATATAAATATACAAAATAAACAGAAGTGTGAATTAATTACATGGAAATTAAGTTACTGATGGCCATATTTACTTAATATTTAAGCATCTTTATCAGATTCTCCTTGTCATTCATTTGAATTCATAAAGCAGTAATAACAGGAAGGGATGAAAGCAAGAAAATAAAAGCATATAGCCAAATAAACTTGTAATTTAGTTAATATTAAACTTACTTCTGTAGGTTCTAAGAAATATGTTGGTCTATGTTTTACAAGTTGCTGTTTAAAATTTGGTAAGAACCCAAAATGTATTGCAACAAGTTACCTAAGTAATTCATTATCTATACCTTAGAGTGACAAAATAAGGGACGAAAATAGTTGTTTTTAACAGCTTTTCTTCTTAAACACCCCCAGCTCCCTAACCCCAGCCACTCTCAAATACATCAAAGGTTTGGCCAGGAAATAACAAAACAATTCTTACTAAACATGAAAATTCCTGAAGAACGACCAGAACTGCAAACATTTCAGCATGAGGAAACTGCTGTTCAGAGATATCCTAGTTGGACTTTGTACATTAGGGAGAATCTATATGAGCAAACCTTGGGCTTTTGAGCTTGCCAACTTTATATTCCTACTACTTTAAGATCCATATGGTTTCTTTAAAATGTGAAGATATTATTCCCGTTGACTCACATTCATGGAATTCACCTGAATATTTGCAACGATGTTAATGAGAATTTGACTAAGGGCCTCCCGAGAAACAGAGGTCCACCTACACACTGCAGCCTTGACAATGAAGCTATGTCAGACTTTTCCCATTTGCACAGTGTGAATTCCATGACTGTTCTCTTATGTTGTGATCACCAGCTGTTGATTGATACGGGGTTGAAGACATCATTGCCAAATTTCCTTTCAGTACAGCTTAGGACATGTGTGCTGATATGTGAATATTGCTGCCAGAGATTTCTACTCTAGGATGTCAGTCATAATGATTTTTACATTATAAAGTATGAGGAGGGGCAGCTTCTGGTATGGCTGAGTAACTCCTACAAGAAACCCTCCTATAGGTAACAATTACAAACTCTGAACAAAATATAAAAACAACTACCTTGTACCAAAACCAAGCAGAAACTGGAGGGAATCAGGACTTGGAAGTAGGAAATGGTACTGCATGAGTTTCTCTCTCTCCTTTTTTTTTTTTAAATGGCTTTTTAGACTGAGTCCAAGCCCTAATCTATTCCGTATAGGGATGCTAAAACTCAGGGTAAACTTGTAATCTAATGGTTTGAAGAACCAGAGGACAGAGGCAATCACAGGGCAACAGTGGGACAATATCAAAAGCATAAGTGTAGTCAGAGTTCCATAAGAATAGGAAAAAGAGAATGGAGCTGAAAAAAATACTTGAAGAATAATGGCATAAAATTCTCCAAATTTTTGCTTAAATTTACATATTCTGGAAGCTCTATGAATCTCAAGCAGGATAAATACAAAGAAAATCACATTTGGCACATCATAGTAAAACTGCTAAAAACCAAAGATAGAATGAAAACAGCCAGAGAACAAAATGATACATGTTACATAAGGAAAAACAATTTGAAACAATGACTACTTATTGGAAACAGTGGAGGCCAGAGACAGTGGAATGTCTTTAAAGTGCTAAGAGGAAAAAAGAAAAAACCTGCAACCTAGAATTCCATCTTCTGTGAACACAGATTTCGAAAATTAAGGTAAATCCAATATATTTTCAGATAAAAGAAACTAAGAGAATTTGTCGCCAGCAGGCAGCAGATCTGCATCACAAGAAATGGTAAAGGAAGTTCTTTAGGTGAAAGAGAAATGATACCAGATAGGAACTCATATCATCAGGAAGGATAGAAACACATCATAAGTAGTAAATATATGGGTAAATTATAACATATG